GCGCCACACTGTTGGGAATGTATTTTAATAAGGGAATGTACCCATTAGAGTATATGGCTAGCTAGGTGGATTCATATTCCCCTGTACTCTTATTTATATCGTTGTATTTTCATGTCTTAATCATCTCAAGCATTTATATTCACTCTGCTATTGAGGTCACGGGCCCACCAACACCACTTCTCTGCGTGCGAACCTTCCTGAGTAGACCCTAGGCCACGATCAACTTCTGATCGCAGCATGGTATCAGAGCGACTCAGGAATCCTTCGCACCGCCATCTACGAAGTTTGCGACATTCGGAAAGTGGCGTCCGGCACACGATTACGTATAAGAATGGCCGGAGGATCTGGAGGTCAGACAAATCTGACGGTTGAAGCGCAGCCCAACCTGGCTGCGACAAACGAGGAAACGACGACGATTCCCTTCGCCGTCCTCGCACAACTACTTTAGCGACTCACGAGCATGGAGCAAGGGCTCCAGACATTGCGGAATGGCGATGCGGGAACTTCTTCCCAACCCACTCAACCGGCCCCAAACGGCCAAAACTCCGCCCCGCAAGGCTTCTCCCTAGATACGAACGGCTCAACCCCCAAGATGTCGGAATCCCAACCACTAGACCATTGGGATAAAAGGGCTTGTTAAGTAGCGGGTCAGTGCGCCCATAACCCCCCAGGACAACGAGCCTGTAACCCTTCCCTAGGATCAATCGGGGATCACCTGTGGACCTCTGACACCCCCCCCGCACTGGGATGCCCGAAGTGCACACATTGGGATTCGAACCCGAGACCTTCGCTCTGATACCATGTCAAAATCCCAACCACTAGACCATTGGGACAAAAGGGCTTGTTTAAGTAGCGGGTCAGAGCGCCCATAACCCCCAAGGACAACGAGCCTGTAACCGTTCCCTAAGATCAATCGGGGATCACCAGTGGACCTCTGACACAAGACTCCCTATCCCAGCGATGAAGCAATTCTCTCTGCGCAATCAATGTTTTTGAGCATATAAAAAATAAAGACAAGTGTGTGCTTTGACGGCAGAGAATTTTACACCTAGAGCTTCGAGCTGGAGCTGCTGCTGCAAAACACGCAGATTTATCATTATTTCGACGGGAACTACTCGGGACATGCTGAGGACACCGACGACGCAAGGACTCACTATTATAACGAGTCCCTGATGGCGTACGGGATTCTTCTGCGTAACATGTTGCCGGCGGAGCAGCTGAACATTCGTTCATACAAGACATCTACTGCCCCAACCCTCGACACTTGGCGCCACCTGAACGGCGTGTATCAGCCCAAGGACTCCGTCTCCTCGAGCCGACTACTCCACCAACTACTGGAAACTAAGATTACCTCAGGGGAGAAGGTCAACAGCTACATCAACCGCTGTCGGAGCCTTCGCGATCAAATCGTGAAGTTGGGAAGCTCGATTTCCGATGAAATCTTCGTGAACATTGTGCTTCAAGGGCTTGGCCCAGAGTGGCGGCCCTGCAAGGCGCTCCTCCGACAGCAAGGGGTCATCTCGGAGGCCGCCTTTTGCGCCACCCTTCTCGTCGAACAACGGGATATGGATCAGCAGCGACCAGCGCCACGACGAGAACGCGAACGGCTCGCCTTCTACGCCGACAACAACGAAGAGCGACGACCGCGGCGCCTCTACTGCAAAATCTGCAGAAAGTTTGGGCATTTGGCGATCGATGTAAGTTCCGATCTCGCCCTCGCCAGACCAATCCGAGCAACTGGTCCGACCGACAAGACGTATGAGGCGACATGCGTCCAGCCCAAGGGTATCAACCCCTACCCGCACGCAATCTGAACTCAACCGTTCAGCATCAGCAACAGCAGCCATCAACTACCCCTACGCGCAACGTCATGAGCAACATGGCCATAGCAGGCGAGTCACGTCGTCGCCGTGCTCGCTCACCTTCACTTGAGCCAACACCGCACCCCATCGGCGCGTTCATCAACAACAACCCTTTCAGCCCGTGCCGCGACTACAACGACGATGACGACCAGGACTAGAACCTCCCAATCCTGCTGCTTGAAAGTCCCGCGCACATACCAGACATGCGGGTGGCGCCACCTGATTGGCTTTCGCGCGAGCAATTTCTGAAGTTCAACACTCCGCACATCGTCACACCGCGATTGGCGCTGCTCGCACGTGACGACAACAAGCGCTACAACACCTGGTACCTCGACAGCTGCTGCGGCCAGCATATGGTGGGCTCCGAGCGTTACATATCCAACCCCGTCCCCACCCCTACAGTAACTTACGTCACTGTGGTGAACAACACGCGCCTGCGCGCAAGCACACAAGGCATCGTCGTGCTCAAAGCACGTGGAAGCCGCACGCACATCACGCTTAACGATGTGCTGATCGTCCAGAACCTGCGCTTCAACCTCCTGTCCGCCGCATAGCTCATGGACTGCGGCGTCGACCTCAGCACGGATCGCGAGACACGAGACATCTTGCTGCACTACGAATCGAGCACATTTCCCCGCAGGCAGATCGGACGTGCGCACTCCGAAAATGGAGTGTATGTCCTAGATTTCGACATTCTCGACAGCAGCGGCGACTCGCACGAGTTGATTGATCTCGTGCCACTGCGCTTTGAGCACATCCACCGTAAGGATTGGAAGCACCCTGACGGCAGACCGTGGGTGCCGCATCATCCCCACCCACGCGAAACGGCATTACACAACCCCGACCCAGATGGCATCCGCAGGGATTGTCACGCGCCGACGACATCAACAAGCGCGACTGCCGGCCGGGGACTCGCCGCCATCGCTGAAGTAGAGCGCCACGCGCCCCCAGAGGAAGGGATGATGCAGCACGAGCTTAAGTTACCACCCACGGCATCTTCGGCACGCCAGAGCATCCCCTCATCGGTCCCCCCTCACAGCACCTTCAAGGCATGCTGCGAGGAACCGGCGTCGGCACCTTTGATGCCCATGGCGAGCCGCAACCCTACACCTACGAGAGGTTTTTGGCCATCTACTCTCATCGACGCGACTCAACGAAGAAACTCACAGTGTGGCAAGAGGAAGAATTGGCGCGCCGCGAAGCTGAGGCGCTTTGCTAGCAAAGCCTCGCAGAAGCACGTGGAACCTTTGCTTGCGCCACATAGGGAGTCGAGGCTAAAGAAAGTGCCTCCAATGAAGGGGGGTGGGGAAGCGCTGGAGGATGGGGAACAAGTGACACTGGCGGCTGGGGAGACACCGGCGGAACCTGGGCCAACGCGAGCGGCGGATGGGGCGCCGCAACTAGCGCCGACAATAGCGGCTGGGGTACTTTCCGTGAAGAACGAAAGGGGGGAGAGGACGAAACTGAGGAAACAGAGGCAACACCTACAATCGTTCCTCTTGGCCGTCCCCCGCGCCACGTTCCACTCGCACCACCTCCTCCTGACAACCCCCCGCGTTGCGATCCATGGGACACCATCATCTAGGGCAACGAGCCGTCAACCCCGCGTCGCACCGTCTACGGACCTGCCCCTGAGCCACGCGAACCGGCGTTCGTACTTGGCACGATCCCCGGGACCAACATTCCGCTCTCTGAGATTCGTGACAGAGAGTTCTTGGCGCTGATGTTGACCACCGCGCTGGAAGAAGAAGAAGCAAGGGGAGTAGCAGCAGAAACTGCTCCAGTACCTGACGAAGACCCTGAGGAAGCACGCACACACTACATATGCACCTCCGGCTTTCGCGCAGACGATACTCTCTGGCACCAGCTGTCAGATATATATGACATAGCTATTGTAGGCTATAGTGGGGTAGCACATATGGGGTACAGCTTTCTAGGGTTTGTATTTGTACCCAACTTTCACTTAGTGATTTCATTCTCGTTCTCATTTCCACATGGTATCGAGCAGGTTCCCCTATGGGAACTGTGCCTAGGGCCCACCACTTCGATTTTTTTTTTTTTTTTCTTGCCCGAAGCGCGCTCCGCCCGAGTCGCGCTCTCACCTCGTCGAGCCGCCCTAGCGGCCCCCTACGCCCTAGCGGCCCTCCCTCCCTTAGCGGCCCCGCCGCCCGTTAGTGCTGCCCCGCCCGCTTTCACGGCCCCGCCGCCCTACCTCGCGGCCCCGCCACCCATTCGTGCGGCCCCGCCTGCATTCGCGGCCTTGCCGCCCTACTCCTGCGGCCCCGCCGCCCTACGTCGCGACTCCGCCGCCCTACGCTGCGACCCTGCCGCCCTACTTCGCGGCCCCGCCGCCCTTCTCCTGCGGCCCTGCCGCCCTACTGCGCGGCCCTGCCGCCCTACTCCTGCGGCCCCGCCGCCCTACGTCGCGGCCCCGCCGCCTTCCTCGGCGGCCCCGCCGCCCTACTCCTGCGGCCCCGCCGCCCAACTTTGCGGCCCCGCCGCCCATCTCCTGCGGCCAGCCGCCCTACTCCTACGGCCCCGCCGCCCTACGTCGCGGCCCCGCCGCCCTACGTCGCGGCCCCGCAGCCCTACGTCGCGGCCCAGCCGCCCTATTCTCGCGGCCCCGCTGCTCTGATCAGCGACCCCGCCGCCCTGCTCCTGCGGCCCCGCCGCCCTACTCCGGCGGCCCCGCCGCCCTACTCCAGCGGCCCCGCCGCCCTAATCCAGCGGCCCCGCCGCCCTACTCCAGCGGCCCCGCCGCCCGTCTACTGCGGCCCCGCCGCCCTTCTCAGCGACCGCCGCGCCGCCCTGCAGCAGCACGCCCGAGCCGCCGACCGCCGCGCCGCCCTGCACCAGCACGACCAAGCCGCTCAGCAGCAGAGGAGCCAAGCCGCCCTGCCGCCGAGCCGCACTGCAGCCGAGCCGCCCGGCCGCCCACCAGCCGAGCCGCCGTGCAGCCGAGCCGCCCAGCAGCCGAGCCGCCGAGCAGCCAGGCCGCGCAGCAGCCGAGCAGCCGAGCCGCCGAGCCGCCGAACCGCCCTACACCCGAGCCGCCCGAGCAGCCCTGTCCGGTGAGCACAGCCCCTCTGTCACTGCGTGCCCTTCCCCTACTGCTTGCACTGCTAGTCTACTGTTGTTATGGCTACCCCTAGTGTCCTCGCTTTTGACGCTGAGGGTCGAGCCATTGACTTTGAGGTCTGGGTCGACAACCTGCAGCTGTTCCTACAGTGCGATACGGCGGACGGCCTTTCTCTCTTTGACCTCAAATCTGGCGCCTCTCCTGCCCCTGCTGCTGATGGTGACCCCACTGTTCGCTCCCAGTGGGCCACGCGCGATGCTGCTGCACGTCTTGCTGTGCGTCGCCACCTGCCTACCACTGAGCGCGCGCACTTTAGTCAGTACAAGAGTGCTCAGACCTTGTACGACGCTGTAGTTGCGCGCTACTCTTACCCTGCCACTGCTGCACTGAGCCGCCTCATGCTACCGTACCTCTTCCTTGACCTTGCTGCCTTTCCCACAGTCGCTGACCTCATTACGCACCTCCGCACTAGTGACACTCGCTACCGCACCGCGCTTCCTGCTGAGTTCTGCGCCAAGACCCCCCCCCCCCCCATGTACATCACTCTCTATTACATCCTCACCCACCTCCCTGACTCCCTTCGCGTGGTCAGGGACCACTTCCTCTCAGTCTGTCCCACCACTCTCACTGTTGACCTCCTAGAGAAGGCCCTCCTAGCAGCGGAGAAGAGCATAGTCGCTGTAGGAGCCTCTCGTGGTGACCCTCGCACCCCCATCTTTGAGGGGTGTTCCCCTTCTCCCCTGTTGCCCTCTGTCGCCTCTGCTGCTGCGGCCGACCTCGTTGGTCTTGAGTCGGTCGGTGCGGCGTCTGCCCCTAGCGGGAGACAGTGCTCTGGCAAGGGCAAGGGGGCCAAGGGCGCGGGTGGAGCTAGCGGGGGTGGTGGAGGTGGCGGTGGAGGCGGCGGAGGGAGTGGGGATGGCGGTGGGAGTGGTGGCGGGGGTGGTGGTGGTGGTGGCGGCAGCGGAGGCGGAGGCGGCGGCGGCGGTAGCGGTGGGAGCGGAGGCGGCGGTGGTGGCGGAGGTGGAGACGGCGGTGGCGGAGGAGGTGGAGGTGGTCGGGGTGGTGCCTCGCAGTGGAGCCGCTCTAGTGGTGGTCAGCGCCAGCAGCAGCAGCAGCAGCAGCCGCGTTCTCGGGACATCCCCCCTCCTCAGCAGCTCCGTGAGTGGTACACGCAGCGTCAGCGTGGTGGGGGTTATGGTCCGTGCACCTACGTCCTTCGCTCCGGCGACCGCGCGGGTGAGCAGTGTGCGGGTGCCCACCCCACCCAGCGCTGCTTTGGCCGCCTAACGGACGCTTGGCGTCACCAGTTCCCGGAGGCTGCTGAGATCCCCCGCTGGGGCGAGCTGTCTAGGGCGGGAGTAGCTGTTTTTGACCTTGACTTTGATGCTATTCTTGCTGCCATGTATGATGTGACTATTAGTTATGAGGGTGACTGTTACCGGTGTTTCCCGCCCGACCCGGGCATTGGTACTGCTGCGCTAGGTGCTCGTGAGGCTGCTGCTCTAGGTGCCAGCGCGTCTGCGCCCTCAGGTACTGGTGAGGCTGCGCTCTCAGGTACCGCGTCGGCTTCGGCCTCCCTCACCTTCACACTTGACTCGGGGGCTTCTCGCTCCTTCTTTCGAGACCGCACCACACTCACGCCGCTTGGTCGGCCGGTTGCAGTCTCCCTGGCTGACCCCTCTGGGGGTCCTGTCCTCCCTTGTCCGGCTGCCCCCTCGGGCACCTTGTCTGGTCTTTACCTCCCCTCGTTCTCGACGAACTTGGTGAGTGGTGCTGACCTGCAGGATGCGGGGGTTCACCAGTTTACTCCTGCGAGTCAGCGGGTGACCCACTGCTCGGACGCCCGCACAGGCCGACACCTGGCCACGTTTTCACGTCGGCCGGGGTCGAGTCTCTACACCCTGACCACTGAGTCTCCTCCTGTCCCTGCGTCTAGCCAGGTAGTTGCGTCGGGTCAGGTGTTTGCTGCTGCGTCTAGGTCTGGTCCTGAGTCTGCCCCCTGCTCGTGTCGCCTCCTGTCTCACGAGACTCTCCTGTGGCACCACCGTCTGGGCCACCCCTCCCTGCCTCGTCTTCGGGGCATGGCCTCCCGTGTCCTTGTCTCTGGTCTTCCCCAGTCCCTCCCTCCCCTTCCTTCGGGGCCTGGTCCTTCCTGTGTCCCCTGTGTCGAGGGGCGGCTCCGGGCTGCCCCTCACTCCTCTCAGTTTCCCCTGACAGAGGCTCCGCTGCAGACGCTTCACATGGACGTGTGGGGCCCGGCCCGCGTCCGTGGACAGGGTCACGAGCGCTACTTCCTGCTGGTGGTTGACGACTACTCGCGTTACACCACGGTCTTCCCCTTGCGCAGCAAGGGTGATGTCACTGAGGTGTTGATTGACTGGATCCGAGCAACTCGTCTCCAGCTCAGGAGGAGCTTCGGCTCGGACTTTCCTGTTCTGCGTCTGCACTCTGACCGAGGCGGAGAGTTCTCCTCTGGCCTTCTGCGAGCCTACTATCGTGCGCGAGGCATCCGCCAGACCTTTACGCTTCCGGACTCTCCACAGCAAAATGGGATTGCTGAGCGCCGCATTGGCATGGTCATGGACATCGCTCGTACGTCCATGATGCATGCGGCTGCCCCCCATTTTCTGTGGCCGTTTGCGGTTCGGTACGCGGCGCATCAGATCAACCTTCACCCCAGGGTCTCCCGGCTGGAGACCTCCCCAGCTCTGCGGTGGACGGGGAAGGTCGGCGATGCGTCTGCGTTACGTGTCTGGGGATCTCGGGCGTTTGTCCGCGACTTGTCTGCCGACAAGCTGTCCCCTCGTGCTGCTCCTTGTGTCTTCCTTGGCTTCCCCTCTGACGCGCCAGGGTGGCAGTTCTACCACCCCTCCTCTCGACGTGTTCTGTCCTCCCAGGACATCACGTTTGACGTCAGCGTCCTCCTCCTGTCCCTAGCACGGACCGGATGTCTCTACGTCAGTCGACTACTCCTCTGCGTGTCCCTTTGCCTTCTCCTCCTGCGTCCTCTCTTCCTGCGCTTGCCGACCCGGAGTCGGACTCTCTTCGTGCTGCCAGTCCTACTGTCACGCGTCTCCTTGCTACTGTCGTCACTGACCCCTCTTTTGAGACCACTGCTGCGTCTGCTCTTGTTGCTGAGCTCGTCGACTTTGCTGCTCGCTGTCGTCTAGACTACGCTGCTAGTCTTGTTGCTGAGTCTGTGTCTGTCTGTCCTCCGTCCGTCGGGGGTGAGTGTGCTCTTAGCACGGACGTCCTTGAGGACAGGCAGGAGGAGTTCTAGTGTCTGGCTGCTGCTTCACCTCATCTCGCGTCCGTACTACTTGCCCCTGAGGGAGACCCGGATGCACTAGACATCCCGACTCCGCGCTCTTACGCGGAGGCCGTAGAGGGTCCCTACTCCTCTCAGTGGCAGGTAGCTATGGATGCAGAGATGGCTTCCTATAAGTCCACAGGCACCTACGTTGACGCGGTTCCCCCTCCTGGGGCGAACATCGTCAGTGGCATGTGGATCTTCAGGGTGAAGCGGCCGCCGGCTCTCCACCTGTCTTCAAGGCGCGGTACGTCGCTCGTGGCTTCAGTCAGCGGCAGGGAGTTGACTACTTTCAGACCTTCTCTCCCACCCCAAAGATGACCACTCTTCGGGTGCTGCTGCACATAGCCGCTCAGCGCGACTACGAGCTTCACTCTCTTGACTTCAGCACTGCTTTCTTGCAGGGTAGCCTGCACGAGGAGATTCGGCTGCGCTGTCCAGCTGGCTTCACTGGGACTTTCCTTCCTGGCACCCAGTGGAGCCTCCGACGGCCAGTCTACGGTCTCCGCCAGGCACCGCGTGAGTGGCACGACACACTGAGGACTACGCTTGCGGCTCTTGGGTTTGCTCCCTCTACTGCTGACCCGTCGTTGTTTCTGCGCACCGACACCTCTTTGCCGCCGTTCTACATCCTCGTGTACGTTGACGACTTGGTCTTTGCCATAGCTGACACTGCTGGACTCGCCTACGTGAAGTCCGAGCTACAGAAGAGACACACGTGCACAGACCTGGGTGAACTGCGCAGCTACCTTGGCTTGCAGATCACCCGGGACAGAGCACACCGCACCATTACCTTGACTCAGTCACACATGGTGCAGCAGGTCCTTCAGCGCTTCGGCTTCACGTACTCCTCGCCTCAGGCCACTCCTCTGTCTACTCGCCACTCGCTCTCAGCTCTGCCTTCGGATGAGTCCGTAGAGTCGAGTGGCCCGTACCCAGAGCTTGTTGGCTGCCTCATGTACCTGATGACCTGCACACGACCTGACCTTGCATACCGTCTTAGCATTCTTGCACTCTATGTTGCTCCTGGGAGACACCGACCAGAGCACATGGCTGCAGCAAAGAGGGTGTTGCGCTACTTGTGCAGTACGTCGGGTATGGGGTTAGTGCTTGGAGGGCGGAGTCCAGTGGTCCTCACTGGGCACACGGACGCTTCTTGGGCTGACGACCAGGCTACTCAGCGGTCGTCGCAGGGTTACACCTTCAGTCTGGGTTCCGGCTCTGTTTCGTGGTGGGCTACTCGCTCGTCTTCTGTTCTCGGCTCCAGTTGTGAGGCTGAGATCTACGCCGGGGCCATGGCTGCACAGGAGCTTCGCTGGCTCACCTACCTGCTGACCGACCTTGGAGAGCCACCTCGTTCTCCTCCAGTGCTGTATGTAGACAACAAGGCCATGCTGGCCTTGTGTCGAGAGCAGCGCCTGGAGCACAGAACGAAGCACATTGCTCTCCGTTACTTTCTTGCTCGTGAGCTGCAGCAGCGTGGTCAGTTGCGACTTGCGTACGTGGCCTCTGAGGCCAACACTGCTGATGTTTTCACCAAGGCACTTCCGCCTTGTGATCATCAGCGCTTCTGCACTCAGCTGGGACTTGTACCTGTCTTGCCTCACTTGCTCACCTCTTGACCTTGCTTGTACTCTTATATATATATACCTGCTCTTGCTTGTTTAGCCTTATATATCTATGTGTACTCCTGCATGTGAACTGGCTTTCTGGCCTTGACCTTGTGCTCGGACTGTGTGGTGACGTTGTGATCCACCCTGAGCTTTGCCTTGCTTTGCTTGACTGGTCTTGTGACCCCTTGTTCTCCCCCACTTTGCGTATGGGGGTGTGTCAGATATATATGACATAGCTATTGTAGGCTATAGTGGGGTAGCACATATGGGGTACAACTCTCTAGGGTTTGTATTTGTACCCAACTTTCACTTAGTGATTTCATTCTCGTTCTTATTTCCACACCAGCGCCTCGGACACCCTTCACGTGCGACGCTGAAAAACTGCATCGACGCAGGTGTCTTCGCTCCTGGCGCACTCCAGCGCCTTGATGGCTCTGAAGTGAGAGGCGCGACACATCCGCGCCACTGCATCGTTTGCCCCAAAGCTGCGCTGAGCCACCAACCGTTCCCACTGCTCGAACCTGGAGCGAATCGCTACCCCAAGCTACACAAGGCGTACAGCGATTTCCTGAACGTGGGGCACTGCGGAACCGAGGACGACATGTACACGCTCACCTTCATCGACGCTGGAACGCGCTACGTGTGGGTCGTGAACGTGGAGTCACGCGACAGAGCCTATGAGGTGTTTCGCCTCTGGCTGGCGCACGCAGAGCGACAGTCTGGGAAGAAGTTGAAAATCTGGCAATCTAACGGCGCGGCAGAATTCAGGAGCAACTAGATGCAAACCTACCTCACGCAAAAGGGGATCGAGCACCATATTTCTCTCCCCTACGCACACCAGCAGCAGGGCGTAGCTGAGCGGACGAACCTCACGCTAATGACGAAGGTGCGCGCGCTGATGAAGCAGTCAAAATTGCCGCCGATCTACTGGACCTACGCAATGCACCACGCAGTACGGGTGCACAACCTACTCTCGACCACCGCCATCACCGGCAATCCGTCCCCGCACGTCAAATGGACCGGGACCAAAGAGGATACCTCCATGCTGCGCGTACGGGGGTGCATGGTTCAATACCGCTTGCCGACCTCAACCATCGGCTAATTCGCCAGCCGCGCTCGCTGGGGGATCCACCCCGGCATCAGTCATGAGTAGAAGGCGTGGATCGTGCTGGACCTCCTCAGTCAGAAAATCGCTCACGCTCGCGACGTCATCTTCTACGAGGGCCTCTTCTTCGACCAGTTCCGCCGCGACAAAGAAACAAACGCGAACCGCGTCTACGCTAACGATGGGCACAGCTACGCAACACCCGAAGACGAAGCCGCTGCAGCAACCTTGGAGCACGACACGAGGGGCGAGTTCGTGTGGGAAGAGCGACGCAGCAGCGACGACGACGATGATTCCTCGGGAGGAGGAATGGGCGCAGCAGGCGAAAGCGGAACAGGCAAAGCGTCAGAGGCACAGCACCACCAGAGCTTCTTGAACCGGAAAGCGATGACGACGACGTACAGGAAGTCATCCCGCAACGTCGCCACAACAGCATTATCTCAGGACTGCAACTGCTCGGGCTTCACACCGCAACTTCGAAGGCGCCACGCGTCATCGAGCCCCGAAATCCGTGCAAAGCACTTTCTGAACCACACAGCAAGGAGTGGCGCGAAGGAATGGATGCGGAAACCCGGGCACTCGAGTCGCGCGACACCTGGGTGCTCGTCGACCATGCAGCAGTAAAGGGGAGAAGGATTCTCTTCAACAAATGGGTCTTCCAAGTGAAGACAGGAGCCGACGGAAGGATTGAGCGATTCAAGGCATGCTGGGTGGTATGCGGCTACGATCATAGGCATGGGCTTGATTTTGACCAGACATTTGCACCGGTCAGCCGTCACACGTCCGTCAGAATTCTCCTCGCCATCGCAGCCGCACGACACCTACCACTGCGGCAGATCGATGTGAAGAATGTGTTCCTGTACGCATTAGTGGACGTCGTGATCTACGTGGAACAGCCATACACTTACGGCGACGGAGACCCACGTGTCTGTCAGCTACGCAAGTCCCTCTATGGGATCAAACAGGCACCGAGACTATGGCAGCAGTATCTGCACAACATACTGCTTGAAATTGGGTTCAAGTAGCTGCCTCACGATCCTGGAATGTGTCGCCGCGATTTCCGTGGCGAATACATCCTCCTCACGGTCTACGTCGACGACCTTCTCTACACAGGCTCAAGCAACGAACTGCTCGAGCAGTTTGAGAGAAGCCTCACAGGGTGCGTCGACATCACCTGCAATCATGACATGAAGCAGTTTCTCGGACTCAACATCACCTACTCGCCGGAAGCCATTCATCTCTCAGCAGCGAAGTATGCGGAGGAGCTTAGCAAGCGCTTCAACATTGCGCCTGGACCACTCTCCACCCCTTACCACACTCCAGGACCCAACCACAAGCCCGACAGCAAAGCCCTATCCCTTGCTGGGCTTCACACTTACCAGCAGCAGTTGGGATGCCTACTTTTCGCATCCGTTACCTGCAGACCCGACCTCTCTTACATTGCGAGCCAGTTGGCTCAGTACTCACGCAAACCAACGGCTTAGAATCTCTCAGATCTTCAGCGAGCCCTTCATTTCTTCATCTCCACGCCCAATGTCAGGCTCAGGTACTCCACCATCCCAACCACATCCTTCAGTCTCGTCGGCTACGTGGATGCCGATCACGCCGCTGACCCTGACAATCGACGGTCCAGGACAGGGTTCCTCTTCCGCCTCGAGCCCAGCGGTCCCATCTCCAGGAACTCTTAGAAGCAGGAGTTGGTTGCCCTGTCATTGGCGGAAGCTGAATTTATCGCACCAACAGCAGCTGTTCGCGAAGGATGAGGTGGACAACAAACTTTCGCCAGCACTCCGACAACCAGAGCGCGATTCGCATCACAAACAAACCTGGTTTCGTCAACTGCACCAAGCACATTGCGCTGCGGTACTTCTTCGTGAAGGATGAGGTGGACAAGGGCAAGGTCAACTTGACCTACTGCCAGACCGGTGACATGGCACCAGAATTCCTCATGAAGCTACTGCCACGCCAGCAGTATCAGCACTGCTCCGAACTCAGCGGCGTGGTCAAGCAGGTCAAGTCGAGCTGCGGCCAGGAGTGAAGGGTGGTGTTACGAATAGTAATACTTGAACATTAATGTGCACTCCTCACCGCAGCAAAGAGAAGCACGCAGTATCACGAATGAACGCGAAGCGTCTGAACCGTCGGAGTAGATAGCATCAGGCAGCTGCAGGCTGGATGGTTTAGACGGGAACAATTTCGTAATTGTTCGCGCCGCACTGTTGGGAATGTATTTGAATAAGGAAATGTATCCC